GGCACGTTCTGGCGGGCATACTGCGAGGTGATAGAGGCGCACTGGCGCCAGCTCTCGGTCGGCCAGCTGGTGCGGGTCGTTGTGGGTATGTGCAGGTCGGGGTTCTACCCCAACACGCAGCTGCTGGACACCACACTGTTGCCGGGCTTGGAGCCGCACCTTAGCGCACTGGTCCAGCATGCAGCGAGCCAGCAGATCGAGCAGCTGGGCGAGCTGCAGGGCAAGCAGGGTCAGCTCCTGCACAGCAAGGAGGAACCGCCGTTTGAGTGGCAAGGGCATAGAGGCGCCCTGGCCCCGGGCCTGCTGGACCCGGAGCAGGTGGCTAGCCTCCTCCCGGCCCTGGCCGCCCTGGACTGCAAGCCGCGCGCAAAGTGGTGGGCGCTGTACCAGGACGCGCTGGCCGCCAGCCTGGAGCGCGTCGACGTGTTCACACTCGCAGAGGCCCTCGAGGCGGTGGCCGCCCTGCAGCTGCCGGTCAAGGCGCCCCTGCTTCGCCTGGTTCTCAGCGTGCTGCCACCAAAGCGGGTACGGCTGCTGGACCAGCCGCGTATGGCCAGCCTCCTCGTGGGCTTTGGCCACCTTGCCGATGCAAGCGCAGGCAATGCGTCGGCTTTTGACGCCCGTGTTGCGCGCGTGCTGTGGCACGGGGCTGGCAGCCACGTAGCCTCTTTGAGCAGCCGCTGCAGCGGCAGCGAGACCAGCGGTGGTGGTGTCAGGCCTATGCGTGCCAACAGTGGAGGCGACAGCAGAGGCGGCGACGGCGGCAGTGACGGTGATGATGACTCCTGCTCAAGCAGCGGCGAGCAGACCGGCGCCATCAAACTAGGCCAGCTGTGTTGCAACTTGCTGCAGGCCGCGGGAAAGCTGCAGCGTGCTCGGCCAGACCTTGGTCCGCCAGGGCAGATGGTCACCACCCTGCTGGCTGGCAGCAAGCTGGGCTTGGCGGCCGGCTCCCTGCCTCCTCCTGCACTTGCGCAGCTGGCGCGCAGCGTTCAGGTTCTAGGCGCGGCCCCCGATGATGACTGGGTGAACAGGTGTGCATCGCTTTTAGGTGGGACTGCATCACCGTACAGGTCGTCGTGGGCCCCCCCTCCTCCGCGGATTGAAGCCTGGGCCTCAACGTTGTGACAGTGCCTGTGCTCACACGCGGTGCTGCCCCCTCCCGCGTCTGCAGGCTGCAGGACGCTATGGAGGCAGTGGCGACCGGGGCGCGGGCGGACTATCTGGCGAGCGTCATCACGGCCGTCGCCAACCTGGGTGTCCGCCCGCGCCTGCCGCTACTGGAACGGCTGCTGCTGATTGGCCCCTGCCAAGAATTCAGCCCCCGGCTGATGGGCGAGCTGCACGACGCCATCACCTTGCTGCTGGCGGACAGCGAGCCAGTGGGGCCGCCGGCTGTGCCCAAGTCCAACGTGACGGCTTACCAGTGGGGGGGCCCAGTCGTCCCGGCCGAGGGTGCGGGCGACGCAGAGTTTGACGCTTTTGTGGACGCAACACGGGCGCAACTTGGCCCAGCAGACAGCCCTGCCGGGCCCCTCAGCACTGAGAGTGAGCCAGACCTGGAGGACGCGTTTCAGGACCGCAGAGCCACAGCAGACCTGTGGCGATTCGCCACAGGCGACGCGGATGGGGCTGTAGCAGGGGATTGAAAGGCGGAACGGCTGGTGTGAAGCGCATGTAAAACACATGGCCAGTTACAGAATGCAGTCAAGGGGCCGTGAAGAATCGACGATGCATGAACCTAGCAGGCTGGAGTCTGGACACGGCATTAGGCGCCTGCTGCATATGCCAGTCCATGCGACAAGAAAACCCTGCGTGTTCATCCATCTAGTTCCTTGCGGGTCTCAGAGCTGCTGCCGTAGGTAGTCAACAAACATCCGCTGTGCTGTTGTGGCATCTGCGATGCGGCTGAAGGTGATCTTGGTGGCCAGCTTGAGGAACGCGCGCTTGTGGCGCCGCAGCTCTGCAGTCCATGCAGCGCAGAGACGTGACCAGCGCAGGGGATGAGGGAGAGTCGCAGCCAGATTTGAGGGTACAAGAGTCTGACACATGTGGATGCTGAACGGGGGGCCTCAAAACATGAGTGTCATGCCTCTTGCAGTGTTGATGACACGCGTTGCCAAAAACATTGCGAACCCACCTGCAAGTGGCACAAGGCGGGTCAGCTGCAGCTTTCCTGCGCCGCCGCCAATATCCAGCAACCCGGCGGGGCCGCCTCCCGCCTGTGTCTGCGCATTGCTGATGGCGGTAACGACAGTCTGAAGATGTTGGGAGGGCGCAAGGGAGATGCCACGATGTCAGCGCATACCACATGTCCAATATCATGGCATTGCTATTGTTGCTTTGATGGAGCGCACCTCCCCCACCCCTCCCCGCCGCCCAGCAGGCGTGTCTCCCCGCACCGTCACCCCGTGATACCTGAGCTGCGCTATCGATCTCGTGCAGGACATTGGTGCCCAGCAGCCCCGGGTTGGTGGTTGCAATCGTGGGCTGCAGCAACTGCCCTGTTGCCGCAGCAGCACCCGCTGCGTTGCCCGGCGCCTCAGCCGCCCCTGTCACAGTTGCTGCCACCAAGTCGAGGACTTCAGCACACTCTGCGTGGTCTCCTGGCAAGGGGTGGCAACTTGTCAGAGGCGATGGTGCAGGCAGATCTGGCGTCCCACGCATGGCTCAGGGCCTCTCCACCCCCAAGCTTGGGACCTTCATCCGCAGGGTGCTGTGCCAGCACCCCTGCCCCCACCTGCCGGCCGCAGCGTGAACAGCGGCGCGTCCCATCTGTTGCGCGAGTCTGGCATCTCAAAGCGTCGGGCCAGGTCATCAAATCTGTATCGTATTGCCGCCGCATGAAAGACCGTGTCAGCAAGGTCCTGGAGGCTTCATGTAGGATCCAACGAATCAGTGCATCATGACATGCTGCAACAAGCACGATATATTGCAAGACCATAGCTGGCATGCAGACGTAGGCTATTGCCAAATTGCCTCACTGCCCACTGGGCACGCACATGTGTGGCAAGTAGCGCTCCTCCTCTGAACGTGATTCGTTCCATTGCCGGCAAACATCAACGGGTGTGTCCACATGCACCTGTTTGCCAGGGTTGGGGCGATGTGAGCAGCCGGCTGCACCCCGCTGGACTCCTCGGCCCCGGCATTGTGTGCTGTCAGGGGGCCTGCAGAACCGTTGTGCGCGGGCGTGGTGCCCCGCTGGCACGCCATGGACCGCCTCACCACGCAGTAGCGGGTGCCCAGTGTCCTGGCAATGCACCACACCTCGTAGCGGTAACCCTGGGTTGCAGGGCAGACCATGGGGGGTTTACCAGGCATCAAGGGAATCAGCTTTTCCCGATGCTAGGCCAGCCTAGGCAAGAACAGGCGCTGCAAGGCAAGGACAGGCACGGCAGGGCCCCGCTGCATGATGATTAACACGCATGGGCGCGCTGCCTGCTGCGCCAGTGCGTACGCAACCACTGGTGGCGCTGAAGCACGCCTTTTGGGCCAACCTTAATGTTGTTGAGCGAGTCCAGGATCACCAGGGAGCGCTTGGTGAGGACACGCTCCACAGCAGACTTGAGGGTGGCCCGCGCCATCTTCTCATGAGCGCTGCCTAAGGCGCGCCGCGGGCGTCGATGGCGCCTTCAAAAAGGACGTGGCGTCTCCAAGGAGTGCATCGTCCTGAACAGACCTTCGTCAGCCCAACCTGCGCCCCAGCCAGCCCACACGCCCACGTGTCTACACGCCCGCAAGACCTGGCAGGAGCTCACATGAGTACGCGGCGTTCCGCTCCAGATGCAGCGAGGGCTCGTCCAGCACCTCCACGGGGCCGTGCAGCTCCAGCAGGGCACGAAGCTGCGCCGCAGCCGTGCTCTTGCCACTGGCAGGCTGGCCAGCCAGCACCACTAGCGGCATGCGTGCTGCAGCTGTGACGCTTGCTGCTTCTACTCAGAGGATCATGTAGCCAACCAAATGCTGGGATTCACTGGGGGGACCTTTAAGGCTGCTCAGGTGGCAGCTCTGCCTTGGCTCCTGTTGACTGCAGGCGCAGCACGAGCAGCACTGAGAAGGAAGCGGCACGCAGCCTTTCCTGGCGTCGCGACCTGCTGCAGCTCACGGCAGCTGCGTCCAATGTAGAGGATTGAAATTTCTTGTGCAATAGTGGTATGCTCGGCGTTGACGTATGGATGAGAAATTCTGAGATCACAGCCTCGTCGACCACGGTATTTGGAACCGCGTTTTGCAGAAACGAGCGCGATTGTACAAGCGCATCTGACTGCCTCGACGACATCTAGGCCGCCGTGCAGATTGCGCGGCGGTGTGGTGACACCGGCGTCAGCCGGGGGGCGGCGCGCGATGCCTATCCGTTCAGCAATGTTATGGGCTGCACCTGGTTTGAGGCCCCAAATAGATGCAGCCGCCGCTGATTTTGAATGCCACAACGAACCTACTAGTATGGGCAAACTCCATCGTGGCATGCTTGTCATGAGGGCGATTACCGTGGGGCGCCTGGAGTGCTCACCACCCTAGACAACGCACACGGCAGGTGTGGCAAGCAGCAGTATGCTCAAAGCGAGTGGGTAGCCCTGCACGTACCCGCGCCACCGGTACCCCTTGATACTCTGAATCACCTGCGCGGCCCTTTTCCGAATGAAGATTTGTGCAAAGATGTAGTGCATTGATTTCAGGCTGCGCCAACGGCTGGTGGTGATGAACGCTGACCAGGGAGGATCCACCAGTACGTTGGGGGGGCTACCAGTATAATGGGAGCTGTCAATGTCATCCATGTATTGTGAGCTGTCGGCATGTCAGTATCCACCATGGAAGTGAGGTGTCACGACTTACTCAGATGGTGCAGCACTGGTCGATTTTCCCCGCACTGGCGGCCCCGAGTGCAAGATGGATTCGGCGGGCACCCTCACAAAGGCCGGCGCCTGGGCCCTAATGGCAAGGAATGACACTTCGCCACCAGCAGGGCCCTGCACCACCTTGGTTGCAGAAAGCGGCAACGTGCCTTACATCGGTCCAACAGCCCGCAGCAATGCGGCAGGCTGCTTGGCACAGCGCAGAGGCGGCTTGGAAAAGCAGGATTATGAAGCGATGTATAGGCGGCAGGCCCCAGCGCAAATATGGGGGAGTGTGGTAGACTCTTGTACTGTTGTGTCAAGCACATGCATGAGTGCTGCTCACACCGCTGTCCATGCTGTTCACGCTTGCCCCAATGCCCTCCTGGCCCCCGGCATTAGTGCTGCGTTCCTCTGTCCACCCCTGTTCTCAACTGCTTACAATGTTCACAAAAATCAGGCAATCTGCGTGTTGTCAACTGGGACAGCACTTTGTCTAGCCTGCAGCCCAATAGCACAGCGTTACATGGGGCGCTGCTGTTGCTGCTGCTGCTGCTGCTGCTGCTGCTGCTGCTGCTGCTGCTGCTGCTGCTGCTGCTGCTGCTGCTGCTGCTTCTGCTGCTGCGCAAGGTGCTGTTGCTGCTGCAGCTGCTGCAGCTGCATCTGCCGCTGGAGCAGCATGAGCGTCTGCTGCTGCGTGAGCGCCTGCTGCCCAGTGCCAGCAGCGCCTGTTTGCATGCCGGGCAGGCCCAGGCTGGTGCGTTGCTGCTGCTGCTGTTGCTGCTGCAGTAGCTGCTGCTGCTGCAGCTGCTGCAACTGTTGCTGTTGGAGGTGCTGCTGCAGCTGCTGCTGCAGCTGTTGTTGCTGCTGCTGTTGGGTTGCGGCCCTGGCTGCTGCCAACTGCGTTGTGACGGAGCTGCCGGTCGCTCCGCCCCCGCCTGATCCTGCGCCTCCCAGGCCCCCGCTACCGGTGAAGTTGAGGCCCGGCTGTAGCACAGCCCCCGTGGGCATTTGCAGGACTGCTGGCGCACCTGGCAGCGATAGTTGCGGCCGCACTGCCAGCGACGACGCGGCCCCACGTGCGCCTGTGGAGCCTCCAGCCGACCCTGCACGTGCTCCAGGCAGAAAGGGACTCACACCTGCCATCCCTGTGTTCGCGGTTGAAGCTGGAGCTGCGCGCGCCGCGGCCTCCTCTGCCAGGTGCTGAGCCCAGCCAAGGCGGTCAGCGGCGCTGGTTGCTCCGCGCTGCTGCTGCACCGCCAGTCGCTGTTCAATGACCGCCAGGCGCAGGCCCACGTCCTCCACCTCCGCCAGCAGCTCCGCCACCTCAGCCTCGTCCTGCGCGGATTGTACGCCGCCCGCAGACTCCGGGGTCGCGGTTAGGTCGGCCCCGTTGTATTCGCTGCCAAAAACCTGGGAGTCGGGTCAGGTTTGGGTGGGATGGAGTGGTCAGGCAAAGCATGATTGTGGCGCTGGCCAAGTGAAGGAGAGCGTTGGATATGCTCGAGTTCCGCAGACCTGACGTGCAACACAAGGTGCAGAGCAGGCAAGGAGTGGGCTTCACCTTGTGTGTGTGTGTGTGTGTGTGTGTGTGTGTGTGTGTGTGTGTGTGTGTGTGTGTGTGTGTGTGTG